TTAATTTAACCGGAGAAAACCAGATTTTCCTGAAATTTCGTACCTCTACGTCAGCTGTTGTTAGGCATTTGTGAACTTTAGAAGCTTTATGCAACTTGTGAATTCCACTAAGTTTTGCAATAAAGTTTGGTGTTACGTTGTTTTTAATTTATTTGGAGTTTGCTCGTCCATTCGCTGCCAGTCTATATCAAGCTTTTCATTTTCACATAGTGCTGAGTTCATCATTCACTTACATTCACTTACGGATATTTCTTTAAAGATTTTTGAATTCTTTATGCTAAGAGTCGAAGGCAATAGCAAAAACTGTGAGTTGTGTTGGGCTTTTGTCAGTTGATTCCGTTTTATACTGTTCTAATATTTGTTCCTTCACCTTCCACTTTTAATAAAAAAAAATTTAAGCACATTTTGTCCCAATTTTTGATTGGCTGATCAAAGCGATTAATTAACGCGAGCGAACAAAATTTTTTCGACTTTTGGCGTCTTGTTGTCTATTTTGTATACTTTTCAGCTTTCCGAAGTCATTGTTTGTTTTAATAGCTAAAAGTGGGAGTCTTTCTGCTTGTTTTCAAACTATATAACAGAAGAAAAGAAAGAGAAAAAAGCTAGAGTATACTTAACGTCTAAACACGGGCACTCATGGTGTGCGTAAATATAGCAAAGCCACGGAATTACAAGTGAGCAAGTGACCTCAAGACCAAAGCAGTTAAAAGTGAGTTTTTCATGTTCATTGGAAAATACTCATTGTTTTATCTTCAAACTCCGAGTTTATTCGCCGTATGGCGATTTAAACGGTCTGAAGAGACCGTTTAAGTTTACACGGGGATAGGCAAAATTTCACCGGTGGATAGCGCTAAACGGGCTTGTATACAACGCGATTTCTGGGGCGTTTAAATTTTATCCGGCGGATAGCGAGTTAAACTACCGCGGTCACTGGAAACTAAGTTACCCAAATAAAAGCTAACTCTGCCACCAAAATAAAACCTGTTCTGTCGCATGTATGAACGGGGTTTCGCGGAAATCTTTGACACTTTCAGACGAAACGAATTCTTTTTCCGAGTAACCAAGAGTTCTTTAGAGCTCCCGCATTTAAAATTATTTTTGCACACAAAATTACAGTTTGCTTTATTTCATTATTGTAGATGCAAAAAACCAACTAATGTATCCTTCTCCAAAATTGATTAAAGTGCAAAATGGATGGTATATCCTTCCTGGATACGACGCACATGTTCAGGAGCTTGTTTTCTCGGACGCAGGATTTCGCAATTTGTACAATGGCCAGAGGATGAGGATCTGGTATGGGGAAGACCTGTATGGTTATTCAGATGCGACAATCATGGACGTGCGTGCATGGACATCTATGTTTACGTCGCCGATGTCTAGCATCCCTGTTCACATGGAACTGAAATCCGCATGAAAAACGTCCTTAAGATTTATACGATTATTTGTTTAAAAATCAATGCACTTTTAGTTGTTTCATGAAACTACATGTGAGTATTCAGGGGCTTAGGAACCGGGGGGGCACGGGGGGCACGTGTGATGAAAAGTGCCCTTTTCGTACAAGCTAATGTCGGCGACAACATTATGTCGCTGTAAATACAAAATTAACTTCAAAGGTGCCCTTTTTTTTCAAAATTTGGTCAAAAACGTGTAATTTCGGTATGGTTTGACGGGAAAATTTCTCCCCCCCGAGAATATTTTTAGCTGCCATTTTTCAATATCCCAAACAGCCCTGGAAGCCCCCCCCCCCCAATCTTTTGATGCTTTCTACGCCCTATATGTAATTTGTATGTTGTTTAATCTCAGTCATCGAAAAAGCACATGCAGTGGCGTAGCCAGCCATACAATTTAGTCCCGCTATGCAAATTCAAATCTATTATCATTATTCAATTCTTTAGAAATTAATTGTTATCACTGTCAATGAGCACGAAAATATTTAAAGAGTGAGTATCATGCCTGTGATGCCATTGCGTGCTTATTGCCTTAGTCGGCCATTTTACGGTGCCGCGAAAATGGCCACTAAGTTGTATTTTGAGGATTAATGTGGAATCTGCGCGATATTTGAACAATCGTGTTATAAATTATTAATTTTTTGTATTCCCCTTGGAGCGTTGACCATGTTAGAGAAATTGTTTGTTTGTTTTGATAAATAATACGACGTAATTTTCCATAAACTGGTGTATTTCCTTCCGAGTCATGGCTGGAGCATCGCCTCCGAAACGTGGAGGCCAAAGAAAGACGAACCAGTCGTGCGGATAAGATTAACCAAGCACATATATGACATGTGGACTACAAAAAAAGATTCTGTTGGGTTCTCGATGAAAACGCATAGCGAATTTGCAGAATATCTTATGATGAATACATACGAAGGTATATATAAGCATCCAAACTGCTAGTAGTGGTAAGTCGAAATATTTAGTACGATCACTGCAGTTTATACGAGAAGCTAGTCAGCTCCTAACCTGAAGTTCAGGCCCTAATCACAGAATAGGGCCTGACACAAAACCTATCTAAAGTGTGGGATTCCCGTCCATCTGGTGGACGGGAAATCTGATTGGTTGATCAGCATCATGAAGGATTTTGATTGGTTGCAAGTTTACATAAACAACAGTTTTAAAAATAGCTAGGTCAAGGCGACAATTAATATAAAGGTCAAACGCACGTACAAATTCCATTATCGATTTCTTCGAATTTCTTTTTCTTTTATGATTTATGGCAGAAAATAAATCAAACAAACAGTATTTTGAAAGGGCTTTATCAAAATCTTGGACGAATTTTGGACACACGACGCCGAATGAACAGCCAAACTAAGTAATGTATTCGAAAGCTTGTTGTTGACAGCCAAGATGTTCTGCCAACTGGCTTCGCCGGCAAAAGTCTTATTTTTAATATCAGGTCCTACCGGCGTTGTTTTCTGAGCTACATCGCCTTCTTCGTGGTACGATTGAGAATTTCATTGTTGCTGTTGTTAGCCCGTTTTAATAAAGTATATCCCTAATATCCGCGTCCAGCAAGTTGAGACCTTGAGAAAGCTTGGCAGTCTAGCCGTGCACAGAACTGACTAATTAAATCTTTGTCTGAATCTTATTTATATAAAAGTACCTTGAATTTTTAAGTTTAATTATAAAGCAAAATGCACACTCTGCGGACATGTTCATGAGAATATAATTTTTTTTGTGTAACGAAATCTATAACACTTGTCAATCATATTGCATGTTGTGTCTAAAAATAACATGTGGGCGTCCCACGGTCTAGACAGGTTTTGTGTCAGGCCCTATTTCAAATTAGGGCCTGAACTTCAGGTTACTAATTATCCCCCCCCGCCCCCCACCTTTTGACATGTTTAATGAATTTTGTTTCTTGGTTATCTAAAAACCTAATGCATGGTATGCTGTTCATCAAAAATTGGGATCGAAAGGAAGTACAACGTATGATCTTTCTGTAGCCGCTCGGAGCAAGTACTGATATCTCATATATGTAAAATTGAAAATACTTAAAAATAATTGAGTTTTAACTGTCTGGTCTAACCCTACAAGGTTATTACAGTTAGCTTGCACCTTCATATTATGTAATATTTAATGAAGAGAAGCAGTGGCGGACACTAGGGGAGGGGGCGAGCCCCCCGAGTAATTCTGAAAGACTGTAAAAATCTTGTACCAAATAACACAAATCACACTCATAAAACGTAATGTCATATTAAATAATAACAATTTGATAAAACTTAAGCTAAGACAGTAAGCAATATACCAAACAATATAATAATATACGTTTCTGTACTGTACATGACACAACATACGCATTTTATACAATGTCATTCTTTTTGACGGATACTAGGAGGTCAACTTTTTGCAACAGGCACTTCTTTAAATGTCATTGTCGATTTTTTGTTGTTTTTGAAGCTTATACTAGTCTTTAGCAGCGAAATTTTCTGCTGCACAATAATATTTGAATGCGTATTAAACTATTATGCTCACATTGACAAAAACAACGGATAATTCAATTAACATTCCAATTTTAGTTATGTTAACAAAAACAAAAGCGTGCGCATGCAGCGAATAAATTTCACTCACTTAGCGAAAATATTCTCTGAAATGTTGGTTTTCTATGCTTAGCATGTGATTTATAACTGAATGCCGACCATTAAAACAGTGTTTTGCAAAATGTGTTCTCAGAATGCTGCAAATGCCATTTCCGGGATTCAAATTTAAAAATTTTTCGGTGCCTTTAGCACGAGCCCCCCCCCCCCCCCCCCCC